TATAGATAATTGTAACTCGAATGAATAAGAAATATTTTAAAATTTAAAAAAAAATTACCTTAAAAAAAGGGGGATAGTCAGAAGAAAAAAGACCTTGCTTCTTAAAGCTTTAGAAAAAAAAATAAAAAGAGAAAGGAAGAAGAATGACAGAATATCTACCATAAAAATACCATACAATGGATAATTTCTGTGGTTATTATGACTGAACTATTTCAGCTTTGTTTGATACTGAAACTGAGCACGGAATATTCCATCTCTCTGATCATTACATTATGCTAGTAACAGGTGTGACCGGATCGTTATGGGATGCTTAGTCCTCCAAGGCACCTGATCCCACAGCTGTGATTTCCTGTGATCCTTGTTTTATGCCTTATTTACAGATTTGTATTGATTACAGTTTTTGTTTTGGATCATTCACTGTTCGTCATCTTCAAAACATTCATTGACTCAATTTCTCATAGAATTTTCTGCTTTAAAAAGCAACAGTATTACCATTGAAATGAATTAAAAAGCGCAAAAATGCAAACAACATGAGCCACAGAAATTACCCGTTATATGGAAAATAACTACCCTTATAAAAAGATAATGTGCTCATTTAAGAAAAAATCTGAGCAAGTGTGACTTCATCTGTTTCTCTCGAGCCAGACATTTTAATGGTCATAGCTATAATGAGGTACATAGGGAGGTTTTTAAAATCCATGAGATGTCTTCAGTTAAATATAATTCCTCTGAAAAAAATGAGGAAAATTACTAATCACTACTGCTTTTTAAACATCATTACCATTACAAAAATACAACAACTTAGATAACTTTATGACAAAGACAGAAAGTTACAATGAGTTAAAGAGGGAGGTTGTGATAGCCGTTGAGATATCTCTGATTATGAAATAATGAGAAAAAAGGGATATTTCTTCTGATTAAAGCTTTTAAACGAAGCGTCCTTGCCATAAGAAAATAAATTAAAACTAAATTATATGAGAGAAAAATAAAACTATCTTAAAATTAAAAAAAAAAAACAACTCCTAATTAAAAAAAAAAAGAAAGAAAGAAAAGAGAAATAAGAACGTTTATGTAAAAAAATATATATAAGAGAAAGAAAGAAGAGATAGTATAAAATAATTGTCATTTGAATTAATAAGAAATATTTTTTTAAAAAAAATTACCTTAATAAAAGGGGGGATAGTCAAAAGAAAAAAGACCTTGCTTCTTTAAGCTTTAGAAAAAAAAAAAGAGAAAGGAAGAAGAAAGACAGAATATCTACCATAAAAATACCATACAATGGATAATTTCTGTGGTTATTATGACTGAACTATTTCAGCTTTGTTTGATACTAAAACTGAGCACGGAATATTCCATCTCTCTGATCATTACATTATGCTAGTAACAGGTGTGACCGGATCGTTATGGGATGCTTAGTCCTCCAAGGCACCTGATCCCACAGCTGTGATTTCCTGTGATCCTTGTTTTATGCCTTATTTACAGATTTGTATTGATTACAGTTTTTGTTTTGGATCATTCATTGTTCGTCATCTTCAAAACATTCATTGACTCAATTTCTCATAGAATTTTTCTGCTTTAAAAAGCATCAGTATTACCATTGAAATGAATTAAAAAGAGCAAAAATGCAAACCACATGAGCCTCAGAAATTACCCATTGTATGGAAAATAACTACCCTTATAAAAAGATACCGTGCTCATTTAAGAAAAAATCTGAGCAAGTGTAACTTCATCTGTTTCTCTCGAGCCAGACATTTTAATGGTCATAGCTATAATGAGGTACATAGGGAGGTTTTTAAAATCCATGAGATGTCTTCAGTTAAATATAATTCCTCTGAAAAAAATGAGGAAAATTACTAATCACTACTGCTTTTTAAACATCATTACCATTACAAAAATACAACAACTTAGATAACTTTCTGACAAAGACAGAAAGTTACAATGAGTTATAGAGGGAGCCTGTGATAGTCATTAAGATATCTCTGATTATAAAATAATGAGAAAGAAAGAGATATTTCTTATGATTAAAGCTTTTAAACAAAGCGTACTTGCCATAAGAAAATAAATTAAAACTAAATTATATGAGAGAAAATAAAACTAACTTAAAATAAAAAAAAAAAACAAAAAAAAACTCCTAATTAAAAAAAAGAAAGAAAAGAGAAATAAGAACGTTTATGTAAAAAAAAAAGATATAAGAGAAAGAAAGAAGAGATAGTATATATAAACATATCATTTGAATTAATAAGGAATATTAAAAAAAATAAATTAAAAAAGGGGGATAGTCAGAAGAAAAAAGAACTTGCTTCTTTAAGCTTTAGAAAAAAAAAAATAAAAAGAGAAAGGAAGAAGAAAGACAGAATATCTACCATAAAAATACCATACAATGGATAATTTCTGTGGTTATTATGACTGAACTATTTCAGCTTTGTTTGATACTGAAACTGAGCACGGAATATTCCATCTCTCTGATCATTACATTATGCTAGTAACAGGTGTGACCGGATCGTTATGGGATGCTTAGTCCTCCAAGGCACCTGATCCCACAGCTGGGATTTCCTGTGATCCTTGTTTTATGCCTTATTTACAGATTTGTATTGATTACAGTTTTTGTTTTGGATCGTTCACTGTTCGTCATCTTCAAAACATTGACTCAATTTTTCATAGAATTTTCTGTTAAAAAAAATCATGCCATTTAGATGAACAAAAAGCAGAAAACACTGCAAGCAATATAAGCCACAGAAATTATCCTTTCTACTTATTTTTTTAAAAAATATAACTTGTCATTAAAATTTTTCTTGTGGAAGTGTGACATTTTTTTTTGTTTAGACTCCTTCATCTTCTGCAGGCATACACTGCCTCTCTCATCTTAAAACCTACATATAAAATGGCAAAATACCATCCTATTTTGAACACTTTTAAAAATAGGCCTATTAAATTTTTCTTGTGGAAGTGACAGGGTATGCAAGCAATCCTCTCTCATTTAAAATTTCATTGTAAATACAGGTAAACACTAACAACCTCAACACTTCTATAGGCCTTAAATTTCAGGCAAGAACTAACTACCTCCCTTATTTTTTTTAAAATATTCATTGTAAAGACAGGTAAATACTTCCCTCATTTTGAAACTTAAAATTCAGGCAAGTAATAAATACCTCTTTTTTTTAAAAATAAATATTTAGCTATAAATACCTCCCTCATTTTGAAACTAAACAATTCAGGCAAGTAATAATTACCTTTGTTTTTTTAAAATAAATATTTAGCAATAAAAACCTCCCTCATATAAAATTCCCATAGTAAATGTCAGGCAAGCACTTAATACCTCCCTCCTCTTAAAACTTAAAAAAATATTCATGCAAGTTCTATGTACCTCCCTAGTTTAAAACTTCTAAAGCTAATACAGGAAAATACTAACAACCTCCCTCCTTTATAAGTTAAATATTCAGCAAGAACTATCTACCTCATTTTAAAACTTGAATATTTGGGCAAGCACATTAATTATCTCACTTTTAAATCTAAATATTCAGGCAAGAAACTAAATACATGTACCTCCCTCATTTTTTAAAGTTAAATATTCAGACAAGCACTAAATACCTCCCTCATTTTTTTTTAAATATTCAAACAAGCAGTGAATACCTCAGTCACATTTAAATCTAAATATTCAGACAAGCGCTAAATAACTTCCTATTTTAAAACTTAAATACATGTACCTCCCTATTTTTAAACTTCAATATTCAGACAAGTACTAAATATCTCTCTTACTTTTAAATTCAAATATTCAGGTAAGCACTAAAAACCTTCCTTGTATTAAATCTATTTTTTTGTGATCAAGCACAGATTTAAAAAAAAAATCCTGTTTTTAACTTTAAAATTCAGACAAGTGTTGATTCAAATATATATATAAAGAAAAAACCTCCCACAGTTACCGAGATTTCTTATGCATAGAAACAATCTTAGGTAATAATAAGCTCAAATTATTTTCTTTTCAGCGTTCAGCAAATCACTGGTAAAAATACCTCCACCACTATTTAGCCTAAATAATATATTGGAAAAAAAACTTTATACATGTATAAAAAAAATGTTCAAAACAAAGACATACAAATAAATTTTGATTCAATCTTAAGAATACAATAAACTTCGAAAAGGAAATTTAAGTAAAAGGAAAAAAGTATAATTATTAAACCTCAATACTTCTAGATAAAAAAAAAAAATAATTAAATGCTCTCTGAAAGATTCTGTCTCATTCAGATAAAACAGTAAGCCTAAGTAATCTTAAACAATTATCTAGCAAAATGAATTCTTCTATTATCCTACATATATCATGAAAAATGTCATGGTTATACACTACAATAATACATCAAATTCCCACAACCATCCAAAAATTATAAAGGATCCTTCACATAGTATTCCTGGTGGTTTGTCCTGCTTCAGGCCACATGGAAAATCTTGGAAAAACATTGGTAGCAAAAAAAATGTCCTAAGTCAATCTCTAGGTCACATGGAAACTTTTGGAAAAACACAAGTAGTGAAATTATCTCCCATAACTGACACTGCTCCAAGGTCCATCAGAATTCTTTGAAACACATCCATAGGGAAAATATCTCTGGACTCTATCCCCATAGCTCACGTTTGAGTAATACTAGGCAAGGCTCCAGTTGTCCAACACTATAGAAATACAATGAATCCTATAATATTTTTACTATGATACTTTATGTATATTTAAAGTACAAGTTTTCAGGGTATATATAATGATAATGATAGAAACATCCCCATTTTACCTACAAGAATGTTTTAAGACTAGAAAAATTCAAATAATTTTTTTTTACTATACATGACAATTGTATTTCAAATACAAAGTAAATAAATTAGCTAATGTTAATGATAGACCGAGACAGAAACAACACTTTTTGCCAAAATAAGGATCATTAATAAACATATTACCTGGTAGTCTGGTAGTTTAAGATCAAACATGATGAATGCTGGCTTCATGTATATTTTTCTGCTTGTGAATAGCACCAACTATTGGCTAAACTAATTGTTGACTCAGTGACAGACCACTTTCACCTAAAGCCTGAAATGATAAAAAGAACCTTGAAAAAAGCTTAAGAATCATTTTAATGTTTTTTTGAAAAATAATTCATATATGATCTACAGTATATCAAAGGTCAATTTGAAATTCAAAGTTTTAATATGAATCTTCCATATAAGCAAATTCCAGGTTTACAAGGATCAGGGATTTTGCCAAATTCCCAAGGGAGGGTGCTACAAGATTGCATTTATGTCTCAAACAAAGAAATAATTTCACTATATATCACTACATAGCTTAATTGATTTAATTTTATTAACTCTTTTTCTTACCTGTCTGATGAACACAACAAAGGCTACAAAGATGACTGGTAGAATACAGGTATACAGGTGTCAAAACTCTCCATTGATGACCAGACTGCATGCCGCATTGTATGTTGTGAATTATTGATCTTTAACAGGGGAAACTACTCCTGAAATCAGAGAAATTGTAGTCAAAATGAGAGATATCTGCTCCTTTTTAGTTCTCACACAAGGAAGTAATTAAGGTCTTCCGTTCGTATCCAAAACACAACTTGACCTAGATATTCATGTGATATATCTGTATACCAAATTTCATTTCAGTATGTGCAATGGTTGCAAAGAATATGAACAGAAACTAAGTGTACTGACAGACAGACCAACAGCAGCAAAGCTATATGCCCTCCCTTCTTCGAAGGGGGGCATAATAAATGTCTCATGTGGCTTTTAAGAAAGAAAATTGACAGTATAAACATACCATCCCTGAAATACACATGGGTTTCACATGTTGATAAACATCCTACACACCATCTAGGAAGTTGTATCATGCACACCTGAAAAAAAGAGTTCCCTTTAATTCTGCTACATTTATGATATTTCTAGTACACAAATTTAATACTAAAAATTTTGCCAAAAATTGAAAAATAAATTGTTATATTTTTCCATTGAAATTGAGCTTTAAAGCATCATAATGTTTAAGAAATAAAGTCCGCGTTTTCGTGAATGTTGCAGAATAACCTCCGAGGTCAAGAAATGTTGTTTGAAAGATAAAAGCCGAGGCATTTTGAGACCGAGGAGGTTATTCTGCATCATTCACAAAAACAAGGACTTTATTTCTATTCTGCTACGTGTAGTTAGCAGCCCTAAAATACGACTGATCGTTTCTCAATAGAGAATCGAATTAGGTCACCAAAGAAACAAGAGGCCCATGGGCCACATCGCTCACCTTAGCACTAAGGGTAGGAAAAAGTATAAAATGGCTTTTTATTGTAAAGTTTAAATCCAAAAGTAGTCCCATGACCAATCATGGATTTGCTGTTTTTTAGAAAATAATTTTTAAAGAATTTTCCTATATATATCTTTAAAAACTTTGGTCGGCCATTTCGGCCCTGCCCTACCCCTGTGGGTCATGATTTGAAAAAAATTGAATCTACACTACTTGAGCAATCTTCCATATAAATATGATCAATTATGGCTTTGTCATTCTTGAGAAGATGTTTAAAGAATTTTCCTATATATTTCTATGTAAAAGTTTGGTCGGCCATTTTGGCCCCACCCTACCCCCAGGGGTCATGATTTGAACAAACTTGAAACTACACTACCTGAGCATGCTTCCATATAAATATGATCAATTATGGCTTTGTCATAAATAAAGAATTTTCCTATATATTTCTATGTAAAAGTTTGGTCGGCCATTTTGGGCCCCGCCCTACCCCGGGGGGGGGGTGTCATGATTTGAACAAACTTGAAACTACACTACCTGAGCATGCTTCCATATATATATGATGAATTATGGCTTTGTCATTCTTGAGAAGAAGATTTTTAAAGAATTTTCCTATCTATTTCTATGTAAAAGTTTGGTCGGCCATTTTGGCCCCGCCCTACCCCTGGGGGTCATGATTTGAACAAACTTGAATCTACACTACCTGAGCATGCTTCCATATAAATATGATGAATTATGGCTTTGTCATTCTTGGGAAGAAGATTTTTAAAGAATATTCCTATATATTTCTATGTAAAAGTTTGGTTGGCCATTTTGTCCCCACCCTACCCCCGGGGGTCATGATTTGTAAAAAAAACTTGAATCTACACTACCTGAGCATGCTCCCATATAAATATGATGAATTATGGCTTTGTCATTCTTGAGAAGAAGATTTTTAAAGAATTTTCCTATATATTTCTATGTAAAAGTTTGGTCGGCCATTTTGGCCCCGCCCTACCCCCAGAGGTCATGATTTGAACAAACTTAAATCTACACTACCTGAGGATGTTTCCCCATAAGTTTCATCTTTCCTGGCACAGTGGTTCTTGAGAAGATTTTTAAAATATGCCACCAAATTTTCATTTATTCCCAATTATCTCCCCTTGAATGAGGGCGTGGCCCTTCATTTGAACAAACTTGAATCCCCTTCACCCAAGGACACTTTGTGGCAAGTTTGGTTGAAATTGGCCCAGCAGTTCTTGAGAAGTCGAAAATGTGAAAAGTTTACAGACAGACAGACAGACAGACGGACACCAGACAAAATGTGATCAGAAAAGCTCACTTGAGCCTTCGGCTCAGGTGAGCTAAAAATGGAATGTTTGCAGTTATAGATATTTATTGAAGAGCCGAGGCAGTGCACATGAGATGAAGATTGTACGACAAAGGCATATCCCTGGAAATTATACAAAGTACTTCACCAAGAAAAGAATGCTAAATCTGGAAAAATGCATTTAAAGAACACTCACATAAGTTTCCAGACTGTGATGGTCTACTCAACTGGAATCAGCATGGGAAGGAAAAAAGAGGCCTGGCATGGATCCTTTCCATCCGATGTAAGAAGTGCCACTATACCAGTCACCGAGAAAAACTACAAAGAGGTGAGAAGATCTGGCAGGGGATGAAGAGCTGCACAGCTGAATGCGGCCATGGCTGTTGGTCACCTGGGTACCAGTCTTACAACAGAGGGTATGCATGGTATGCTTCTTGGTGCAAATATTGAACCAGCATCAACCACCAACAGACCTGCAACAAAGTGGTTCAAATTATCGCTAAAATATGAAGAAAATAAGGCCGAACATTCAAGGACTCAATGAAAAATGTGGACTACTTGTTACCCCACCTCCGTTGATTTTTCTGTGAAATCCTGGCTTACGATTGGTTAAAGTCTGTCACGTGAAAGCGGTGGATTACTTATACACGGTCAGTTGCAAATCTATACCCGGTCAGTTGTATATCTATACCCGGTCGCTGTATTACGTAACAAACATGACGTCCCGTACGAAAGTTTGAGGCGGAATAGGCACGGCTTGGGCACGGCTAAGACACGGAATCCGCACGGGTTTTTAAAAAGCTGCACGGGTTCTGCATGTCCAAGACACGGACACGGTTTCCGTGTCTGAAAGTGAGGAATCCTCACTCACAGAAATCCGTGTGGAGACACAGAATCCATGTCCCAGGGAGACAGTTTTTAACTCAGGCGGGTTTTGCTTTAAACTATTTATTTATATCTCACGGCTTTTTACTGAGCATGCTCAATCATAACTTCCTTTATTTGAATATTAAATTGGAGGGATTCATGGTCATGAGCTAAGTCAATGTGTCTTTTTGCTCTATTTAAAGGATATTTAACTAAATAGATGTCAGTTGGAATTGTATTTATGTCAGTCTGGGATAATTTCTTCACTTTTGAACTATAAGTAAGTCAATTTTTCAATTTTCATGATCTTCCTGTATTGCGATGTTGACAATGAACATGATGAAATAGTTTAGGTTTATTTGAATGACTTTAGTTGGACTTTCACTAATCTTTTATAGTATATATATATTTTATGTGACATCACTGTGCTAGTGAAAGTTTTATTTAAAGTAAATTCTTTCTCAGATTGTGCAGACTTAGCTACTAGATTAAATTACAATTGAATATTGTACATTATCATTAAAATCATAGTTAAAAACTAGCATGGATTGTAACTGATAAATTTAATCTATAACAGAAAGTAAATGGGCACATTCACATAAGATTTTTAACTTTTGAAATTCAAAATCTATAAGCATTAATGTAAAGCAATGTGAATTAGTTTGGTTTCGGTCACCATTTTTGCATCCACAGTTACATCAGGAGACTCTCTAAAGGCCATGACCTAGATCTAAACAAATGCACAGATCCCGTGACTCCTTATATGGTACACGGCACGGCTTTTTTGACACGGGTTTCCGAAAAACCGTGTCTCCATATATTGCAAAGGACACGGGTTTCAGACACGGGTTTACATAATCCGTGAATCCATATATGGAAACAAGCACGGCTTTCTGACACGGGTTTTGTAAAACCGTGTGATCTCATTTAAATATTTCGGCCAATATCCCGTGCCGTGTCCGTGCCTCGACCACTTTTAGGCACGGCTTTCCATACATACTTTACATAGGAGCACGGAATGCTAAAGCATGGGTTTCTGGAGAAGGAATCCGTGCCTGAGCCGTGTCTAAGCCGCCCGGACTGTTTCGTACGGGGTGACATCATAATAGGCACAGTATAAGCGTGATGAAGCATTTAGCAGAGAAAATCATTTATAAACCACAGATAAAACGTAAATGTTTCATTGGTGGGGTAAATTTGTTACATAGTCTTTTAGTGACAGGGTATGGGATGATACTCCCCTCCGCCTCGCCAGGTATGAAATTTACTAACCAGGTATCATCCTATACCCTGTCACACTCACTAAAAGACTTTGTAACTAATAATACCCTCCCCCATAAGAGTGTAAGTATATGCTCGGTACATTAATGTCACCTTCAAAGCCATTGGATAAACCAAATTCCAAGCTGCCACCCAAGTGACATGTACTTTCAGTGAAAATGTAACTCAGAGGAAAATTGTTGTGGAAGTATTCTGTCGGAATACACTATCCAAAAAAGGCGCACACCTATGAAGCAAATGAAGTGAAGTTACCTCCCCAGGGCACCAAAACTGCACTGCAACCATTCCTCCGGAGACCACCATTGGAGATGAGAATTAAAGAGATTATAAGGCCGCTAATTGTGTTGGTGAGTTACAAAGTGATGGCCGTCCACTAGTCATATCCCATTTCACCAGTGATGGAGACAGTGCCTCTGCATCTGGTGCATCTGAAAAACATTTAGGACACATGAATGAAAACGTCAAAGAATTACATCACTTCTTTGACTCTAAAAGAATGGAAAAATTGCAGCATTGATAAGGCTGAAAAAAAGAGGGCGGGGCCTTATTTATACGGGAAAAGTTTTCTGTGACAATTCACACAAAAATATGTATTCCTCATAATACCAGAAAATAAAATAATTTGCAACTTTAAACTGTATCTTCATAATAAACAACAATAAAACTTATAAGAGTTGCTCATTAAATCCCACTCAGCTATGGTTATACACATATCATTGTTCGTGATGAACTTGTCACCATGTCATCATTTTTACCTGATGTTATTTTGGTAAAAATGACATATTTCATATAGACAGATTGAAGAATTTTTTTTACAATGAATGAAAATTGAACTAGAAATATGTCCATAGGACATGAATGCCCCGCCGAGGATATATTAGTAAAACAACATGAAAATTTGTATGTGCATAAAATTTGATCAGAATATCTTGAATAGTGATAGAGCTGAACTGCTTGTTTGGAAAATATAGGTCAGATCCAGCATCTGAAGCAAATCTGGTAGTGTCCATCCCTAGCTGCATCATCCATGCAAGTTTGGTTCAGGTAGGGCTTATAATTACTAGAGAATGAAAATATAGGTCAGATCCAGCATGCGAAGCAAGTCTGGTAGTGTTCATCCCTAGATGCATAATCCATGCAAGTTTGGTTCAGGTAGGGCTTATAGTTACTTGGGAATGAAAATATAGGTCAGATCCAGCATCTGAAGCAAGTCTGGTTGTGTCCATCCCTAGATGCATCATCCATGCAAGTTTGGTTCAGGTAGGGCTTATAATTACTAGGGAATGAAAATGTAGGTCAGATCCAGCATCCAAAGCAAGTCTGGTAGTGTCCATCTATGAATGCATCATCCATGCAAGTTTGGTCCAAGTAGGGCTTAAAGCTGAATACGATTCGTAAAAGGAATGTGTCCGCCATTTTTGTTCCCAAGTCTCGCTACTTTGCAGACCCCTATAAATAGGGCAGAAGTTAGTCACTGTTCAGTGTAATCAGTCGACACCGAGGTAGACGGATGTTTGCTATACAGGACTAGGTAGCGATAATAATAATGTAATACTTCGTCTTATGCAGGAAAGCAAGATACCAAATAAATTTACAATTATAGTTGTATAAGTCAGTGCAGTATAAAAACAACATACTAGATAAACGTAACTGCAATAAAATATAAACAAAGGTAATGCAAGATAACCAGCACGAACACGGGTCGCCATTCGACACCGATACCCGTGACAATAAAGCAGTCAGGTGTAACGAATGCGACGAGTATACCACAGTATTGATGTATCGTAAATAATGCTATCGAAAATGGCGTATGCCTATTTACGAGTCGTGTTCAGCTTTAATGTTCCTTAGGAATGGACCTGCTCCAAAAAATTTTACCTGGTCACTCATCTGGAAAATGTAGGTCAGATCCAGCATCCGAAGCAAGTCTGGTAGTGTTCATCCCTATATGCATCATCCGTGCAAGTTTGTATCAACATGTGAAGTTTGATAACACCATCTTGAATGGTATGTTTAAAACCGAGCTAAACTCTAAGAAGTGGGGTCAAGGTCAAAGGAAAGGTCAAGGTCAAAAAATGTAGATGCAGTTGCATAGCTCTCATCAATATCTATCAGCATATGAAGTTTGATGAAAATATTTTGGATAGATTCTTTGAAACTTAGCTTTAAACAGAGCTAAATGTAAAGTATGACGGAAGGACAGAAGGACGGAAGACGGATATGACAAACACTATATGCCCCAGCCATATTCATGGCGGGGCATAAATATGCATTTTATTATTAAACAGAATATTATTTTCAGGTTTTAAATAGGCTATTAATACCAATGTATTTAACCTTTGTTTAGTTTGATTATTAATTATTATAGAGAGAATACATTTAATTAATTTTGCCATGCTTTTGTGTAAAGGTTAATAGGCATATTAAACACTGTTATGCCTCATTAAATCATCTTTCCCAAGGGCATACACTAGATAGATCTTAACCATTTTTCGAATATAAATAAAGGATATTTTCCTTAACAGAAAGTACAAAGTATGCAGAAATAATTACTAGCTTGAATTTTTAATTTAAACTATTTATGAGGTAGGCCCTTATGATACTGACATTTGTTATTGACTTGCATTCAGTACACAAACTTTGCCTTTTTCATGTGACTGTTCATTGATAGGACGTACTAAACTTCATACAGTACAGAGTGGACTACATACTATGCGATTTCCATAAGTATTTAAGTTCTGTGCTAATAAAACAGCTTAATAAAAATAAATTCAGTTTTGAAAAGGCCCCGTGTTTTGCACATCTATTTCACGTTGATTTCTCTCCTTAACAGTGATGCGATATGGAGATATCACATAATATTGTCTATGTATAGTTCCTATATAATCTATACAAGCACAAACAGTTCAAAACACTATGTATTCACTGGGTTTGACGCTGTATTCACTGGAGGGTCAGTGCGCGTGCAGCGGCATTGTGACGTCACAATAAACACCTCAAACAAGGTTGTAAACAATGGTTGCAACAGCCTCAGCCCACTTATATATGTATTGTCGGAGGCCCTAAATTTGTTACGGTCCTAGAGTCGTGCACCTTTATTACTGCATATGTTAAGAATTTCAAAGAAAATATTTGATTTTTTTTTTACGTCTTATCTCAAGTGTATTGGTGTTACGGCACGCATTATTTATGTAAAGTTAACAATGCTATGGCACGCATTATTTATATAAAGTTAACAAAAGTCACATATGTCCGATTTGGAATTTTTGGGTCTGTATTATGTAATTTCCACTAAGGTCATGACCCTAGGACCTGTGTT